TCAAATCAAATATTTGATCTTTCAATTTGAATTTGATTTGAAATCAAATATTTGAATCAAATCAAATCAAATCAAATCAAATGTGAAACTCTACTGAAAAGGCTTTAGGCCTTGTTAAGTTTATATGCAATAAGTACCTAATTTTTTTAGATGGATTATTGGATCGATTACTTGATTAGAAACGGCTTCTCCAAAAAAACTATATTCAAATATTTGTCGACAAACAACTCTATCTATATCAACTTCAACTTGTTTACAATATATGAAAAATCTAGCCAACTTCGCATATTGGTTAAGATACATTTTAGCTACTTTTCATAATAAAAAAGTGTTATTAACATGAATATAATTCATATCTTCATTATAAATAGCATCTTGTGTTTTTGCATTTTCTTGTACTGATTCAGTATAAAAATTTTGGTTATCAACTAGCTCTTCTGTTAGGTTTTTGTCACATTCTACTAAGAGATTATTATTACAATTTACTGCAACATTGTCATCACTTTCTACAACATTTTCAGACATGTTCGTTTGAAATTCCTTATAATTATCATCAATATAAAAGTCTAAAAGAATTCAGAACAAGGTAAAAAAAGAAAAAAAAAAATAAAGATGAAATAAAAAGCAGTCTACTATTTACTATCACGTTCTACTGAGATATTATTGTTACAATTTACTGTAGCATTGTTGTCACTTTCTACAATACTTTCATATACGTTTATTTGAAATTCCTTATAATTATCATCAATATAAAAGTCTAAAAGAATTCAGAACAAGATAAAAAAAAAAAAGGAAAATAGAGATAAAACACAAAAGCAGTCTGCCACTTACTATCACATTCTACTGAGAGATTATCATTACAATTTACTGCTATATTGTTATCACTTTCTACAATTTCATATATGTCTATTTGAAATTTCTTATAATTATCATCAACATAAAAACCTAAAAGAATTAGAACAATGTAAAAAAAAAAAAAAATAAAGATGAAATGCAAAAGCACTCTACTACTTACTATCATGTTTTACTATTAC